GACACGGGGAGGCAAGCAATTGACTTTGTTTTGAAAGGGCAATGACCGGGAGGCAAGACAATTGACGCTTTGTTTGAAAGGAGCAGACACGGGAGGCAAGCAATTGCCTTTGTTTGAAAGGAGCATGGCACGGGAGGCAAGCAATTGACGCCTTTGTTTGGAAGGAGCATGACACGGGAGGCAAGACATTGACGCCTTTGTTTGAAAGGAGCATGACACGGGAGGCAAGCAATTGACGCCTTTGTTTGAAAGGAGCATGGCACGGGAGGCAAGCAATGACGCCTTTTTGTTTGAAAGGAGCATGACACGGGAGGCAAGCACTGACGCCTTTGTTTGAAGGAGCATGACACGGAGGCAGCACTGACGCCTTTGTTTGAAAGGAGCATGACAACGGGAGGCAAGCAATTGACGCCTTGTGTTTGGAAGGAGAATGACACGGGAGGCAAGCAATTGACGCCTTTGTTGAAAGGAGCATGACACGGGAGGCAAGCAATTGACGCTTTCTTTGAAAGGAGCATGACACGGGAGGCAAGCAACTGACGCCTTTGTTTGAAAGGAGCATGACACGGGAGGCAAGACATTGACGCCTTTGTTTGAAAGGAGCATGACACGGGAGGCAAGCAATTGACGCCTTTGTTTGAAAGGAGCATGACACGGGAGGCAAGCAACTGACGCCTTTGTTTGAAAGGAGCATGACACGGGAGGCAAGCAATGACGCCTTTGTTTGAAAAGGAGCATGACACTTGACGCCTTTGTTTGAAAGGAGCATGACACGGGAGGCAAGCAATGACGCCTTTTGTTTGAAAGGAGCATGACACGGAGGCAAGGACGCCTTTGTTTGAAAGGGCATGACACGGGAGGCAAGCAATGACGCCTTTGTTGAAAGGAGCATGACACGGGAGGCAAGCAACTGACGCCTTTGTTTGAAAGGAGCATGACAACGGGAGGCACATTGACGCCTTTGTTTGAAAAGGAGCATGACAATTGACGCCTTTGTTTGAAAGGAGCATGACACGGGAGGCAAGCAATTGACGCCTTTGTTTGAAAGGAGCATGACACGGGAGGCAAGCAATGACGCCTTTGTTTGAAAGGAGCATGACACGGGAGGCAAGCAATGACGCCTTTGTTTGAAAGGAGCATGACACAACAAGGCAAGCAATTGACGCCTTTGTTTGAAAGGAGCATGACACGGGAGGCAAGCAACTGACGCCTTTGTTTGAAAGGAGCATGACACGGGAGGCAAGCAACTGACGCCTTTGTTTGAAAGGAGCATGACACGGGAGCAAGCAACTGACGCCTTTGTTTGAAAGGAGCATGATGACGCCTTTGTTTGAAAGGAGCATGACACGGGAGGCAAGCAATGACGCCTTTGTTTGATGACTGACACATGGGAGGCAAGCATTGACGCCTTTGTTGAAAGGAGCATGACACGGGAGGCAAGCAATTGACGCCTTTGTTTGAAAGGAGCATGACACGGGAGGCAAGCAATGACGCCTTTGTTTGAAAGGAGCATGACACGGGAGGCAAGCAATTGACGCCTTGTTTGAAAGGAGCATGACACGGGAGGCAAGCAATTGACGCCTTTGTTTGAAAGGAGCATGACACGGGAGGCAAGCAATTGACGCCTTTGTTTGAAAAGGAGCATGACACGGGAGGCAAGCAATGACGCCTTTGTTTGAAAGGAGCATGACACGGGAGGCAAGCAATTTGACGCCTTTGTTTGAAAGGAGCATGACACGGGAGGCAAGCAAGACGCCTTTGTTTTGAAAGGAGCATGACACGGAGGCAAGCAACTGACGCCTTTGTTTGAAAGGAGCATGACACGGGAGGCAAGCAATGACGCCTTTGTTTGAAAGGAGCATGACACGGGAGGCAAGACATTGACGCCTTTGTTTGAAAGGAGCATGACACGGGAGGCAAGCAATGACGCCTTTGTTTGAAAGGAGCATGACACGGGAGGCAAGAAATTGACCCTTTGTTTGAAAGGAGCATGACACGGAGGCAAGCATGACGCTTTTGTTGAAAGGAGCATGACACGGGAGGCAAGCAATTGACGCCTTTGTTTGAAAGGAGCATGACACGGGAGGCAAGCAATGACGCTTTGTTTGAAAGGAGCATGACACGGGAGGCAAGCAATTGACGCCTTTGTTTGAAAGGAGCATGACACGGGAGGCAAACTGACGCCTTTGTTGAAAGGAGCATGACACGGGAGGCAAGCAATGACGCCTTTGTTTGAAAGGAGCATGACACGGGAGGCAAGCAACTGACGCCTTTGTTTGAAAGGACTGACGCTTTGTTGAAAGGAGCATGACACGGGAGGCAAGCAACTGACGCCTTTGTTTGAAAGGAGCATGACACGGGAGGCAAGCAATTGACGCCTTTGTTTGAAAGGAGCATGACACGGGAGCAAGCAACTGACCTTTGTTTGAAAGGAGCATGACACGGGAGGCAAGCAATGACGCCTTTGTTTGAAAGGAGCATGACACGGGAGGCAAGCAATGACGCCTTTGTTTGAGGCATGACAGGGAGGCAAGCAATTGACGCCTTTGTTTGAAAGGAGCATGACACGGGAGGCAAGCAACTGACGCCTTTGTTTGAAAGGAGCATGACACGGGAGGCAAGCAATGACGCCTTTGTTTGAAGGAGCATGACACGGGAGGCAAGCAATTGACGCCTTTGTTTGAAAGGAGCATGACACGGGAGGCAAGCAACTGACGCCTTTGTTTGAAAGGAGCATGACACGGGAGGCAAGCAATGACGCCTTTGTTTGAAGGAGCATGACACGGGAGGCAAGCAATGACGCCTTTGTTGAAAGGAGCATGACACGGGAGGCAAATGACGCTTTGTTTGAAAGGAGCATGACACGGAGGCAAGCAACTGACGCCTTTGTTTTGAAAGGAGCATGACACGGGAGGCAAGCAATGACGCCTTTGTTTGAAAGGAGCATGACACGGGAGGCAAGCAACTGACGCCTTTGTTTGAAAGGAGCATGCACGGAGGCAAGCAAACGCCTTTGTTTAAAGGAGCATGACACTGACGCCTTTGTTTGAAAGGAGCATGACACGGGAGGCAAGCAATTGACGCCTTTGTTTGAAGGAGCATGACACGGGAGGCAAGCAACTGACGCCTTTGTTTGAAAGGAGCATGACACGGGAGGCAAGCAACTGACGCCTTTGTTTGAAAGGAGCATGACACGGGAGGCAAGCAATGACGCCTTTGTTTGAAAGGAGCATGACACGGGAGGCAAGCATTGACGCCTTTGTTTGAAAGGAGCATGACACGGAGGCAAGCAATTGACGCCTTTGTTTGAAAGGAGCATGACACGGGAGGCAAGCAATGACGCCTTTGTTTGAAAGGAGCATGACACGGGAGGCAAGCAATTGACGCCTTTGTTTGAAAGGAGCATGACACGGGAGGCAAGCAACTGACGCCTTTGTTTGAAAGGAGCATGACACGGGAGGCAAGAAATTGACGCCTTTGTTTGAAAGGAGCATGACACGGGAGGCAAGCAATTGACGCCTTTGTTTGAAAGGAGCATGACACGGGAGGCAAGGACGCCTTGTTTAAAGGACATGACACGGAGGCAAGCAATTGACGCCTTGTTTGAAAGGAGCATGACACGGGAGGCAAAGCAACTGACGCCTTTGTTTGAAAGAGCACACGGGAGGCAAGCAATTGACGCCTTTGTTTGAAAGGAGCATGACACGGGAGGCAAGCAACTGACGCCTTTGTTTGAAAGGAGCATGACACGGGAGGCAAGCAACTGACGCCTTTGTTTGAAAGGAGCATGACACGGGAGGCAAGCAACTGACGCCTTTGTTTGAAAGGAGCATGACACGGGAGGCAAGCAATGACGCTTTTGTTGAAAGGAGCATGACACGGAGGCAAGCAATTTGACGCCTTTGTTTGAAAGGAGCATGACACGGGAGGCAAGCAATTGACGCCTTTGTTGAAGGAGCATGACACGGAGCATGACACAGCAAGGACGCCTTTTGTTTGAAAGGAGCATGACACGGGAGGCATTGACGCCTTTGTTTGAAAGGAGCATGACACGGGAGGCAAGCAATTGACGCCTTTGTTTTGAAGGAGCATGACACGGAGGCAAGCAACTGACGCCTTTGTTTGAAAGGAGCATGACAGGGAGGCAAGACATTGACGCCTTTTGTTTGAAAGGAGCATGACACGGGAGGCAAGCAATTGACGCCTTTTGTTTGAAAGGAGCATGACACGGAGGCAAGCAAATGACGCCTTTGTTTGAAAAGCCATGACACGGGAGCAAGCAATTGACGCTTTTTTTGAAAGGAGCATGACACGGGAGGCAAGCAACTGACGCCTTTGTTTGAAAGGAGCATGACACGGGAGGCAAGCAATTGACGCCTTTGTTTGTTCGGAAATCAGAGCATTACTCCTTGATGGTTTTATCCAATACTGATTTCTGTGGTTTTCGACTAACCCTCTCTCTCTCTCTCTCTCTCTCTCTCTCTCACCTCTCTCTCTCTCTCTCTCTCTCTCTCTCTCTCTCTTCTCTCTCTCTCTCTCTCTCTTCTCTCTTCTCTCTCTCTCTTCTCTCCTCTCTTCTCTCTCTCTCCCTCTCTCTCTCTCTCTCTCTCTCTCTCTCTCTCTCTCTCTCTCTCTCTCTCTCTCTCTCTCTCTCTCTCTCTCTCTCTCTCTCTCTCTCTTCTCTCTCCTCTCTCTCTCTTCTCTCTCTCTCTCTCTCTCTCTCACTCTCTCTCTCTCTCTCTCTCTCTCACACTCACACACACACATTTAACGGACTTATGTCTGTTTTTTTATTCTTATATTTTTAACAACGAGAGAGAGAGAGAGATAGACTTGAGAGGAGAGAGTGATAGATAGATACAGAGAGAGAGAGAGAGAGAGAACGGGAGGGAGAGAAAGAAAAGACAAATATACATATATATAGAGAGAATAAAAAAAAGCGATCAAAGCAAAAACTCCAATAAAAAAAAAAAACCTAAAACACCATCTTCCCTCAGCAGAACAATGGCGCCCTCAGCATGGCACCAGACGCCACACACGCCCTTCCTGAAGATCGTGGCCCTCGTGGCACTGGGTATGGCGGCTGCCGACTCTGCCACGGAGCTCGAATGCAACAAGGGCTGCAGTTGTTGGGTCAAAGGCACTTTTTCGGAGGAATATCGTGTCATCTGCAACAACACCGCTGAAACTGAGTTTTTTTTTGACTTTTTTTTTTTTTCATTTGTTTGATTCTTTGATGATAAACTTTCTTTATTTTTTATTGTTTTGATTCTTTGACTGATAAACTTTCTTTATTTTTTTATTTGTTTGATTCTTTGACTGATAAACTTTCTTTATTTTTTTTATGTTTGATTCTTGACTGATAAACTTTCTTTATTTTTTTTTGTTTGATTCTTTGACTGATAAACTTTCTTTATTTTTTATTTTTTTTGATTCTTTGACTGATAAACTTTCTTTATTTTTTTTGTTTGATTCTTTACTGATAAACTTTCTTTATTTTTTTTATTTGTTGATTCTTTGACTGATAAACTTTTATTTTTTATTTTTTATTTGATTCTTGACTTTTATTTTTTTTATTGTTTATTCTTTGACTGATAAACTTCTTTATTTTTTTATTTGTTTATTCTTTGACTGATAAACTTTCTTTATTTTTTTATTGTTTGATTCTTTGACTGATAAACTTTTTTTTTTTATTGTTTGATTCTTTGACTGATAAACTTTCTTTATTTTTTATTGTTTTTCTTGACTGATAAACTTCTTTATTTTTTATTTGTTTGATTCTTTGACTGAATAAACTTTTTTTTTTTATTTGTTTGATTCTTTGACTGATAAACTTTCTTTATTTTTTTATTTGTTTGATTTTGACTGATAACTTTTTTTTTTTTATTTGTTTGATTCTTTGACTGATAAACTTTCTTTATTTTTTTTTATTGTTGATTCTTTGGACTGATACTTTTTTTATTTGTTTGATTCTTTGACTGATAAACTTTCTTTATTTTTTTATTTGTTTGATTCTTTGACTGATAAACTTTCTTTATTTTTTTTATTTGTTTGATTCTTTGACTGATAAACTTTCTTATTTTTTATTTGTTTGGATTCTTTGACTGATAAACTTTCTTTATTTTTTTTATTTGTGATTCTTTGACTGATAAACTTTCTTTTTTTTTTTTTTGTTTCTTTGACTGATAAACTTTCTTTATTTTTTTATTTGTTGATTCTTTGACTGATAAACTTTCTTTTTTTTTTTATTTGTTTGATTCTTTGACTGAAACTTTTTTATTTTTATTGTTTGATTCTTGACTGATAAACTTTCTTTATTTTTTTTTTTTGTTTGATTCTTTGACTGATAAACTTTTTTTTTATTCTTTGACTGATAAACTTTCTTTATTTTTTTTATTTGTTTGATTTCTTTATTTTTTTTTATTTGACTGATAAACTGTTTGATTCTTTGACTGATAAACTTTCTTATTTTTTTATTTGTTTGATTCTTTGACTGATAAACTTTTTTTTTTATTTGTTTGATTCTTTGATAAACTTTCTGATACTATAAACTTTCTTTATTTTTATTTTTGTTTGATTCTTTGACTGATAAACTTTCTTTATTTTTTTTTGTTTGATTTTGACTCTTTCTTATTTTTTTATTTGTTTGATTCTTTGACTGATAAAACTTTCTTTATTTTTTATTTGTGATTCTTTGACTGATAAACTTTCTTTATAAACTTTCTTTATTTTTTTTATTTGTTTGATTCTTTGACTGATAAACTTTCTTTATTTTTTTATTTGTTTGATTCTTTGACTGATAAACTTTCTTTATTTTTTTATTTTTCTTTGACTGATAAACTTTATTTTTATTTGTTTGATTCTTTGACTGATAAACTTTCTTTATTTTTTTTATTTGTTTGATTCTTTGACTGATAAACTTTTCTTTTTTTTTTTATTGTTTGATTCTTTGACTGATAACTTTCTTTATTTTTTTATTTGTTTGATTCTTTGACTGATAAACTTTTTTTTTTTATTTGTTTGATTCTTTGACTGATAAACTTTCTTTTTTTTTTTTATTTGTTTTATTCTTTGACTGATAAACTTTCTGTTGACTTTGACTTTATTTTTTTTTTTTCTTTTGATAAACTTTCTTTATTTTTTTTTATTTTTGATTCTTTGACTGATAAACTTTCTTTATTTTTTTTATTGTTTGATTCTTTGACTGATAAACTTTCTTTATTTTTTATTTGTTTGATTCTTTGACTGATAAAACTTTCTTTATTTTTTATTTGTTTATTCTTTGACTGATAAACTTTATTTATTTTTTATTGTTTGATTCTTTGACTGATAAACTTTCTTTATTTTTTTATTTGTTTGATTCTTTGACTGATAAACTTTTTTATTTTTATTTGTTTGATTCTTTGACTGATAAACTTTCTTTATTTTTTTTTTGTTTGATTCTTTGACTGATAAACTTTCTTTATTTTTTATTGTTTGATTCTTGACTGATAAACTTTCTTATTTTTTATTTGTTTGATCTTTGACTGATAAACTTTCTTTATTTTTTTTATTTGTTTGATTCTTTGACTGATAAACTTTCTATTTTTTTATTTGTTTGATTCTTTGACTGATAAACTTTATTTATTTTTTTTTCATTTGTTTGATTCTTTGACTGATGTTTGATTCTTTGACTGATAAACTTTCTTTATTTTTTTTATTTGTTTGATTCTTTGACTGATAAACTTTCTTTATTTTTTTATTTGTTTGATTCTTTGACTGATAAACTTCTTTATTTTTTTTATTGTTTGATTCTTTGACTGATAAACTTTCTTTATTTTTTATTTGTTTGATTCTTTGACTGATAAACTTTCTTTATTTTTTTTATTTGTTTGATTCTTTGACTGATAAACTTTCTTTATTTTTTTTATTTGTTTGATTCTTTGACTGATAAACTTTCTTTATTTTTTATTTGTTTGATTCTTGACTGATAAACTTTCTTTATTTTTTTTATTTGTTTGATTCTTTGACTGATAAACTTTCTTTATTTTTTATTTGTTTGATTCTTTGACTGATAAACTTTCTTTTTCTTTGACTGATTTCTTTATTTTTTATTGTTTGATTCTTGACTGATAAACTTTTTTTTTTTTTTATTTGTTTGATTCTTTGACTGATAAACTTTCTTTATTTTTTATTTGTTTGATTCTTTGACTGATAAACTTTCTTTATTTTTTTATTTGTTTGATTCTTTGACTGATAAACTTTCTTTATTTTTTTATTTGTTTGATTCTTTGACTGATAAACTTTCTTTATTTTTTATTTGTTTGATTCTTTGACTGATAAACTTTCTTTATTTTTTTTATTTTGTTTGATTCTTTGACTGATAAACTTTCTTTTTTTTTTTATTTGTTTGATTCTTTGACTGATAAACTTTCTTTATTTTTTTTATTTGTTTGATTCTTTGACTGATAAACTTTTTATTTTTTATTTGTTTGATTCTTTGACTGATAAACTTTCTTTATTTTTTTATTTGTTTGATTCTTTGACTGATAAACTTTCTTTATTTTTTTTATTGTTTGATTCTTTGACTGATAAACTTTCTTTATTTTTTATTTGTTTGATTCTTTGACTGATAAACTTTCTTTATTTTTTATTTGTTTGATTCTTTGACTGATAAACTTTCTTTATTTTTTTTATTTGTTTGATTCTTTGACTGATAAACTTTCTTTATTTTTTATTTGTTTGATTCTTTGACTGATAACTTTCTTTATTTTTTCATTTGTTTGATTCTTTGACTGATAAACTTTCTTTTTTTTTATTTGTTTGATTCTTTGACTGATAAACTTTCTTTATTTTTTTTTATTTGTTTGATTCTTTGACTGATAAACTTTCTTTATTTTTTATTTGTTTGATTCTTGACTGATAAAACTTTCTTTATTTTTTTATTTTTTTGATTCTTTGACTGATAAACTTTCTTTATTTTTTTATTTGTTATTCTTGACTGATAAACTTTTTTTTTTTTTTTTATTTGTTTGATTCTTTGACTGATAAACTTTCTTTATTTTTTTTTATTGTTTGATTCTTTGACTGATAAACTTTCTTTATTTTTTTATTTGTTTTGATTCTTTGACTGATAAACTTTATTTTTTTATTGTTTGATCTTTTGACTGATAAACTTTCTTTTTTTATTTTTTGATTCTTTGACTTTTCTTTATTTTATTTGTTTGATTCTTTGACTGATAAACTTTATTTTTTTTTATTTGTTTGATTCTTTGACTGATAAACTTTCTTTATTTTTTTATTTGTTTGATTCTTTGACTGATAAACTTTCTTTATTTTTTTATTTGTTTGATTCTTTGACTGATAAACTTTATTTTTTTTTATTTGTTTGATTCTTTGACTGATAAACTTTATTTTTTTCTTTTTTGATTCTTGACTGATAAACTTTCTTATTTTTTATTTGTTTGATTCTTTGACTGATAAACTTTCTTTATTTTTTTATTTGATTCTTTGACTGATAAACTTTCTTTATTTTTTTATTGTTTGATTCTTTGACTGATAAACTTTCTTTATTTTTTCATTTGTTTGATTCTTTGACTGATAAACTTTCTTTATTTTTTTTATTTGTTTGATTCTTTGACTGATAAACTTTATTTTTTTTATTTGTTTGATTCTTTGACTGATAAACTTTCTTTATTTTTTTTATTTGTTTGATTCTTTGACTGATAAACTTTCTTTTTTTTTATTTTTTTCTTTTGACTGATAAACTTTATTTTTTATTGTTTGATTTTGACTGATAAACTTTATTTTTTTTATTTGTTGATTCTTTGACTGATAAACTTTCTTTATTTTTTTATTGTTTGATTCTTGACTGATAAACTTTTTTTTTTTATTGTTTGATTCTTTGACTGATAAACTTTCTTTATTTTTTATTTGTTTGATTCTTTGACTGATAAACTTTCTTTATTTTTATTTGTTTATTCTTTGACTGATAAACTTTCTTTATTTTTTTTATTTTTTGATTCTTGACTGATAAACTTTATTTTTGTTTATTCTTTGACTGATAAACTTTCTTTATTTTTTTATTTGTTTGATTCTTTGACTGATAAACTTTCTTTATTTTTTATTTTTTGATTCTTTGACTGATAAACTTTCTTTATTTTTTTATTTGTTTGATTTGACTGATAAACTTTCTTTATTTTTTTTATT